GCCGTTCACAATGATGGCACGCTGCATGTTGCCAAACAGCTCATTGGCAAAATCCGGCGCCAGAGCTGATCCGCCGATAATCAGGGTCAACAAGCTGGCGGATATATAGAAAACGGGTGCGTTGAGTGGCGCCGGAGAAGGCTGCGTATCTTGAGTTTCTTCGATATTGTTCATGTTCAGCTGAGCAGTTCCGTGCCAAGTGAGGACTTCAGGCGGTCAAGCCAGGGTTCAAAGTGTTGCCACTGTTCGACACTGTCTCGAAATATCGGCTGCCGCACCTGTTCCGAACTGGGTGTGCGCACATTCCTCTGGGTTTCATAGTAAGTCAAACAGCTGGATTCAAATTCAAGGCCGCAAAACTCCAGCATACGCCGAACTTCGCGCTCAAGATTGTCTACAACATCTTCATGATTTACGCGTAGCACTTCACCCGGTAAAACTTCGTCCCAATGCTGCATCAGCCTGACATAGTCTTTGTAATACTGACCGATGTCCTGCAGGTCATATGAAAACTCCTGCCCTTCAGCAAACAGCTGCTTGAAACCGCTGAAGCAACACCCCATCGCACTGCGGCGTGCATCTATAATTTTTGCTTCAGGCAGGATCAGTTTGATCAGTCCGATATGGCGGAAATTATTGGGCATTTTATCGATGAAAAATGGCGCGCCCTCACGATGGATACGCGTATCTTCAATATACTGCTCGCCGAACGCATGAAGTTCATCGGCGGTGAGGTCTGCGAGCACTTCAGGATAACCGCTGTGATTGGCACTTTTACGTCGTCGCAATCGTTGCGACAGAGACAGTATGTTAGGCAGTTCAAGGGTGCCGTCAATCTGGCTATGGGACGATAACACCTGTTCCAGAAGCGTCGAACCGGCGCGGGGTAAGCCGAGAATGAAGATAGGATCCGGGGCTGGAGAGCCGTGCCCCTGGTGCTGGCGGAAAAGGTCTCGTGAGCAGATCTGTATTGTTTTGTCGATTTCTTCGCTCATATGTTCTGCATCATAACGGCTTTGTGCTTTTTTCAGCTGGTTGCCGCGAGCATAGTGTTCAAATGCAGTTTCGAAAGCCTGCTGGTCTTCATAAGCCTTGCCCAGCGCAAAATTCAGGTAGATTCGATCCATATAACCCATGTTGCTGTTCTGCGCCTGCAGGTGCATCAGCTTGAGTTCGTCTTCAGTGAAGCGGTAAGTTTTAAGGTTTGCCAGTGAATAGTAGGCTTCGCCATGTGCTGGATTGTGCTGCAGAACTGCGCGATAGGCTTCAACCGCTTCGCCGCTGCGACCACAGGTTTTTAATGCATGGCCCTTGGTCGTCAAAGTGGCGGCATCAAAAGGCACCTGCTGCAGCACTTCATCAAAATAGTTAAGCGCCGTGTCGAACTCGCCTGTCTGCATATATTCAATGGCGCACAGCGAACGAAATTGAGGGTTTTGCGGGTCTGACTTCAGAAGTATCTGGGCTTGCTCAAGGGCGGCGGCAAACTTCTGACGTTTGCGCAGAATCTGTACATAGTCCATGCGCGCAGGGGTGTAATCCGGCTCGAAAGCAACTGCACTCTCAAGCAGGAATTCCGCGTCTTCCAGAACCCCTAAACGCGTGCCGATATCTGCCAGTTCACGCATACCATCAACGTTGCGAGGATTCTGTTGTAGAAAAGCCCGGCAGACCTCTTCTGCTTTCAGCAGCTTATTTTGAGCGGTTAGTTCTTTGGCGACGCGCAGTGGCTGCGGTAACTTCAGCAGTGTTGCGAGTTGCGTCTGGACGCGAATAGCAGAACGTTCTCTACCCTGTTCAGTGAGGATAGCCAGTTGTGCCCGCAGGCTTGCTTCGAGTGCCGGATTGAGCTGCAAAGCACGCGTGTAGGCGTTCAGGGCCGCATCCCATTCCTGCAGGGCGCGCCGTACGTGTCCCTCTTCCTGGTGCGCGCGGCTGTAAGAAGGGGAGAGTGTTTTGAGTTGTTCTATGGTCGCCAGAGCGCCGTGCAGATCGCCGATGTATCGTTGCGTAACGCAACGCATGTAGAGGGCTTCGGTATCCTGCGGCGATTGCCGCAGGATCGTATCCAGGTCTTCTAATGCTGCAGAAAACTCGCCGCTGCTGATCTTCTGCCTGACCTGAGCCAGGTGGTTATCAGCTTGTCCGCTGTTTTCTGCCACTCGTGTGATGGCCTAGAAGTCGTACGAAAAGCGCAAGCCTACCGTCTGCGGACGGGCGTAAGATACACGCTCGCGGTCGAAGACAAAGCTGCGTGACAGTTCCGCTTCTTCATCAAACAGATTGTCGACAAACAGCTCAGCAGACCAGGCGTCTTTGCTCAGACCCATGGTGATGCCGGCCAGCAGCCAGCTGTCCACCTCAGAGTTATTGATCACAATCACATCACTTTGTGCAGATGATGAATAAGACAGGTGAGGCATAACGTGCATTGTCACCCCTGAATCCAGGTACCAGTTATATCGAGCGCGAATATTGGCCTGGAACTCCGGAGCATAGGCAAGTTCATCTCCCTTACGTACGTCATTTGTTGGCGTGATGACTTTTGTGATTTCTGTATCCAGAATCGAGAAAGCACCACTAACGGTCAGGGCATCAGTTGCAGCCCAGAGAAAGTCCCCTTCAACACCTAAGATTTCTGCATCCGCTGCATTGTCTGAGAAAAACAGATTAGTAATGCTTGTGTCAAAGATGGTTGTCTGCAGATTTTCAATTTCGATGTAGAAAAAGCTGCCGTTCAGTCGCACGGTGCGATCGAACAGATCGAGCTTCCAGCCCGCTTCCCAGTTGACAACATCATCTGTATCCAGTGCAAAAGGAACCGTAAATCCATTGGGCCCTGGAGCGCCACCAGGTCGGTTCAACAGACCCGGACGAAAACCTTCAGACCAGGTTGCGTACAACAGGGTGTTGTCGTTAGGTGTCCAGCTCAAACTCAACTTACCAATCACGCCATCTGTCTCTGCCGCATCGGGCGCACGTAATGCGCCAACTACGGCTGCTGGTGTGGCTGGATCGTCGATATCGTCTCGTGTGTAGGTAATCCGTTGCGCCGCATCACAGCTGCCACGAAAGGTGAACTCTCCGTCGCCGTTGTACAGGTCGCTGATGTCCGTACCAAAGGCATTTGCATCCTCGGCGGCACCAGAGTTACAGAAAGAGCTGTTGGCGCTGCCGTCGAAGTCCACTTCGATGTCATACCAACGCGCGCCTGCTGTAATTGCCCAGGATTCGTTGATGTCCCAGGTGACCTCACCGAAGGCGCCTTTCTGCTCGTCGGTTCTTCTTACGTCGTTACGAAATATGACGCCTGCCGGGAATGCGCCAGTTTCCGAGCGATAGCCGGTATCAAACGCGAAGTTTGGTGCAAATGGTCCAAACGGGGCTGCGGCGACAGAGCCAGGGTAGGTGAAATCGTTTAGCTCGGTAAGTTCCAGGTCGCTGTAAAAAAGCCCGCCTGTAAATCGAACAGGGTGTTCAATCGGTGTGACAATGCGAATCTCGTGAGACCAGACTTCTGTTTCGGTGCTTGAATTAACAAACAGATCAGGTGCCTGACACACACCGCTGGGTGCCGCAGCACCTGGGTAGCTGACGGAACCATCACAGATGTAGTAAGGCAGATACTGGCCAACAAACAGGTAGTCGGTGTAGTCGACGGTCTGATCGGTGTCGCGATCTGTGAAAGCGCCGGTATAAAGCACTTCCAATGCACCAACGCGACCTTCAATGGTCCAGTTGGTGTTGGTAAATTCATCTTCGATTTTATCATCGGAGAAACGCTGGATTTCCATGTCGCCTAGATCAGGGTCTGCAAAGAACACCCCGTCCGAATCCAGTGCCTGTTGCATCACCGATGCACTGGCAGTCCAGTTTTCGTTGATGTCCCACAACGCACTTAAACGCCCGCCCTGGTATTTTGTTTCGTTGATGTTGTCCTTTACGCTTGAGTTGGCCTCGAGGAAAGTGACATCACTCAGATCTGCGCCGGCTTGAAAGCCTGCACGGCCGCCAACAAGCTCGCCGTTGTCGCGAACGGTGTCTGCGGTACGGAAACGTGCACTCTCGCTAACATCACGAGTGCCCGCTACGCTATCAATGTAACCACCCTGAGTGTCCGTGTAGCCAACTGCGCGCAGCGCAAAATTGTCGGCGATCGCCCAGTTCAGTACAGCTTCCAGTTTTTTGCTGGGATCGCCACCTTTGGTGAAAGACGTGCCCAAATCAACGCTGCCGTAGGAGCCGGTTGGATCGGGTTTGTTGGTGATCAGGCGCACGTTGCCCGCCTGCGAGCTGGCGCCGAACAGGGTGCCCTGGGGGCCGGACAGCACCTCTATCCGGTTCATATCAGCGGTGTAGACGTCCAGGTTGCGTCCGGGTTGAGACAGCGGCTGTTCGTCCAGATAGAACGCAACATTAGGTGCCAGACCGGCAACACCCGCGGTTGTGAGGTTGGGCGTTGTTGAGGCGATGCCTCGAATATAAATCGTATTCTGGCCCGGGCCACTGCCACCAGCGGTAACACCCGGCAGCTGGACCAGATAAGTCTCGAAGTTAGTGATGCCCAGGTCGTCCATGGCTTGTTCGGTCAATGCCTGCACCGCAACAGGAATGTCCTGCATGGGCACTGCGCGTTTGGTAGCGGTGACGACAACCTCTTCAATGGCGCGGGATTCCTGACCGGTTGCGTATCCTGCCACCATGGTGGCGACTGCTGCGGTCACGGCTCTGCTGATTTTGCTTCGTTGTATTTGCAAAAGATCTCTCCAATTTATTTAGCCTCGAAACTATTATTTTTCAGTTTCGTGAACTTTATCGAGGTGCGGGCGCGGGCAGGGTAACAAATCTTCCCAAAAAATGCATTCAGCTCTATTGGTTTATTTGGCGCTTATCCGGATTGATAGCCTGCAGACGGTGCAGAGAGAAAAGTTGCCGGCGTTCCGCTGTGGGTTTAAAGATAGAAGCGGGGCCTCAGAGCAGGGTGTACCTGCTCTTGATGTTTAATCCCTGTTCTTGCCCAGGCCGGGGATCACCATGCCAACCTGACGCGAATACTCTTTATAAACCTCGCCAAGGTTGTCTTTGAGGTCGCGCTCTTCGTATCGAATGCCCACGATGATGTAGATCGTCATGCCTGCTGCGAATAACAGATGTCCGTAAGTCATATCCGGGGTAGCCCAGAACGCGAGCAGGAAACCCGTATAAATTGGATGGCGTACAAGTTTGTAAAATAGAGGCTGTCGGAAGGTTAATGCCGGCAAGCTGCGGTTGCGTAGATCGCTCCATATCTGATGCAGGCCAAACAGTTCGAAATGGCTGATCAGGAATGTAGATATAAAAACTATGCCCCAACCTGATGCTGCGATTGCCCAGATCACTGTGCGAATAACGTCTCCTTCCAATGACCAGAGTACGCCGGGTATAGGACGCCAGAACCAGTACATCAGACACAGCACCACGCCGGTGAGCATGACGTACAGGCTGCGCTCGATGGCTTGTGGCCAGAAGCGAGTCAACGCTGCTTTGAAAGCCGGGCGGGCCATGATGCTGTGTTGAATGCCAAACAGGGCAATTAAGCCAATATTGATAAGAACAGCCTGCCAGGTCCCCGCTATGGGGCCTACATTGATGCTGCGAGGTACGAGTTGATTTGTCATAAATCCGATGAGGTAGACAAATGTAACGAAAAAGAAAAAGTAGGCGGTGACGCCAAACAGAAATCGAAGTGATCGTGCCATGATCTCCCCCTCATGAAACGCGTTCCCGCAGGCTAACAGGTAGTTATCGTTGAAGCCATCATTGTTAGGTACGTCGCAGTCATGTCAGTAAACGTAACTCTGGCAGGGATGATGGTTCTTGTATACCGTTCGGTTCCAACCTGCAGGAGCACACAGATGCCAAAAGAGCTGTTTCATCTTGACATCCAAGAAGTAGAGGAAGTCCACACATTGCCGGGTATGTGGCCACCGGAGAAGCTCCAGAAGGTTTTGTCGCTTGCGGAGTACGATGATGTTGTAGATGAGATGGAACTGCTCGATATGGCGGTTCTCGTGCTGCAGGATTTTGAAGAACAAGAAGCCGGTGAGATTGTTCTGCAAGCCGTGTTCGGCGACAACATGAGTTCTGGTGTGAGAGAGAATCTGGTTAATGACCTCAAAGATGATCGGCCCTGGGAGCAATTTTCCAGAGTGAATCAACAGGTGGGTGTGTTTGAGGCGGTCGTATTGCTCCAATTAGCCTTTCCTCGCCGTTACGGCGTGCCTGATGCTTTGCGTATTCAATTGAAAGTAGCAGCAACAGATGCGCAGACCAGTAGGTGGTTAACAAGTGCGCCAAGCGCTTTACTACTCCTGCGACTATTGGCCACAGCGATGGATGATGATGCGGTGCTGAAACGACTGTACGGGCAGGAGATGCAGGTGAAAGATTTTCCGCATGCAGAGGCAATTTTGTGGCGGGTCCAGACTCTGAGGTTGTACCAGGAAACTCAGGGTGCCGTTTATGTCTGCGACATCTATTCAGCGCACCAATGGCTCTCGCCGTTGGTTGAAATGCAAGCCTGGCAGGGCGTTGCCACGCCTGAGTGAGCAGGATTTGTTCAGGGTCGTTTAGGAGGCGCGTTTCTCAGTTGCCGCGCTTCAACCATCTCTTCTGCCGCTCGAAAAGCTTCCAGGCACAATATGTGATAGTGGTGTCGCAGGCTGTCATCATCCTCGTCCAGACGGGCAATCAACCCCGATAGGGCGGCTGCGGCACAGAAATCGCGGTACTCAATGTCGTTCATCGATTCATCCATTTGTTGAATTCGAGAACTTTGCCAAGCCATTAGCGATAAAGCAATCAGGGGTGTCTAACTAGGGAACTTAGCCTGGTAGTCGTGTATCGCTGCGGCGAGTAGGGTAGCTGCTCTGCCGTGGCCAAACGGGTCCCCGATTTCAGCGGTATTCAATGAAGATTCCTGGATCAGGTAGTGACATATGCGTTCCATCATATAGATCGGCACTTCACTGATGTCCTGGTATGCACCAAATGCCGCGTCTCTGTGTAGAACGGCAATGAGTTTATCATCAACGTAATTTTCATCCCGCACCGGAATGCCCCCGACTAGGCGAACCTGCGCTAAAACGCCAGGTACCTCAATCGGACGTTCGCTGAGCACAAATACATCTAGTGCAGCGCGATCTCCACGCAATCGAGCATTCAGCTGGGCAACTTTTGCGCCACAAAGTGTCCGCGGAACGAATCCGTAGGCTGCGGGTGGTAATGCTGAAGTCTCTTGTGGTCGATCTACTTTCAAAAGACCGCTGCTGGTGTCCAGCTCATACTTGATTTTTGTGTGTGATGTATTTTCTATATAGACGACGAGGCCATCAGATCCAACGGTCGGGTTAACGCCGTGCCAAGGGTGCGCCTGTCTGTATGAATAATCGTTCAGTGCATCTACGTTTGATTCTGACATCTTTCTAGGACCTTTTTGACTTCAATAGATTGTGAACGTCAGGCTGTTGTTGCGGGTTGTTCATCGTGTGGTTCGAACCAGATGGTTGCGATCTGGTCGTGGATCTTCAATAACTCGAGCTGCAGACGATCGATGTCTTCGTGCAGTGTATCTCTGACCAGGCCGCGTAGGCTCATCCCGTTAAGTACGTCCAAGGCGTTCTGGATGGATTGAGTCACCTTTTCGCTTCTTGGAAGTTTCTCCGCACATGCTTGCGCTTCGAGAAGGCAGTGTGTGAGGGTGCGCGGGAAATCTTTATTTGCGAGTAGAAAGTAGAGGACGCGAACCGGCGTGAGGCGACTTTGCACTGACAAGCGATAGGCTTGATATGCGCTCAGTGAGCGTAATACGTTAACCCACATTGAGATGACATTCTCCGCGCCCATTTGCTCCTCCTGTTTAAGCAAATCAGAACCCATGTCGAGAATTCTGGTGGTCATGTCACCCCGTTCCAGGTTTCTGCCTAAACGAATGAAGTGGTACGCGGCGGTTTGATTCATCGTGCCTGACAAGAGTCCGGTAACAAGCTGACAGCGTTCAATCACCTCGTTGAGTATGGCAAAGCGGTTTTTACGCGACCCGGCTTTTTCCAGTTTTGCATTGGCGAACAAATACAGCTCGTTTACTGTTTCGAAAGCCTCTTTTGGTACAACTTCACGTAGCGTGCGCAGATTTTCGCGGGCAGATTTGATCGAATTTAGAATAGAGCCTGGACACTGTTTTTCTGCACACAGAAAACGAACAGCATTTTTTTCCAGGGGCTTGTAGTTCAGCTTGCGGAACTCTTCGCCCGTACCGCTTACTTCAATCAAATTTGCCCAGTCACTTTTCAGATCGCTAGGTAAGTCCAGTGAAAGGTTGGTATAAGCTTGAATAAGGCGAGCGGTATTCTCAGCTCGCTCTAGGTAGCGTGCTACCCAATAGGCACGATTTGCCAACGACGATAGCATCTTAACGTTCTCCCACAATCCAGGTGTCTTTGCTGCCGCCGCCTTGACTTGAGTTCACGACCAGAGAACCTTTGCGCAGTGCGACCCGTGTGAGCCCCCCTGGTGTTACCCAGGAATCTTTGCCTTGCAGGATAAAGGGGCGCAAGTCCAGGTGTCTTGGTTCGATGGTCTCTCCTGCAATGGTTGGGGCGGTTGAGAGTTGCAGGGTTGGTTGGCCAATATAGTTTCTAGGATTCTCTTTGATCAGTTTGCGAAATTCTTTGATTTCTGCCTGTGTCGCAGCAGGCCCAACCAACATACCGTATCCACCGGATTCGTTTGCGGGTTTAACAACCAGCTCGCCGAGATGCTCTGTTACATATTTCAATTGTTCGGCATCACCACATCGATACGTGGGTACGTTAGCAAGAATTGGCTCTTCCGTTAGGTAGAAGCGGATGATGTCTGGTACGTAGCTGTAGAGTACTTTGTCATCCGCGACGCCTGCTCCTGGTGCGTTTACTAATGCGACATTGCCCTTAGCCCAAGCAGAGAAGAGGCCTGGTGTACCCAGTTTACTTTCAGGGTTAAACACTTCTGGATCCAGGAATGCATCGTTTACCCGTCGGTAAATGGTATCAACGCGTTTGAGACCTTCGATATTACGCATGTAAACAATGTCGTTTTCGACAATCAGGTCTGAGCCTTCAACCAACTCTGTGCCCATACGTTGAGCCAGGAACGAGTGTTCGAAATAGGCTGAGTTAAAAACGCCGGGTGTCATGACAACGATTTCAGGATCATCCTGGTCACGAGGCGAAACCTCTACCAACATGTCGAACAGTTGATGTGGGTAAGCATCCACAGGGCGAATCGGTACGTTACTGAATAATTCGGGGAAGACGCGTTTCGTAACGGCTCTGTTTTCAATCATATACGAGACACCTGAAGGTACCCGCAGATTGTCCTCCAGCACGTAAATAGTGCCATCACCGTCTCGAACCAGGTCTGAACCACAAATATGCGCCCAGACGCCGTGTTTTGGATTGATGCCAACACACTGGGGCAAGAAGTCTTTGGATGACGCCAACAGGTCTGCCGGTACGATGCCTTCTTTCACAATCCGCTGGTCGTGGTAGACATCGTCGATAAACATGTTTAGTGCTTTAAGGCGCTGAGTCAGACCTTGCTGTACTGTCGCCCACTCGCCAGCGTCGATGATTCGAGGAATAATGTCCATCGGCCACGCACGATCGATATTTTCACCTTCTGAATAAACAGTGAAGGTAATACCCATCTCGATTAGGGCTTTTTCCGCAGCTGTCTGTCGTGACCTGATCTGTTTGTTGGTCAGTCGACCAATGTAGTTGGCAACTTTTGCTGCAGCCTCGCGTGGCTCACCGCCAGGCATGATGAGTTCGTCGTAGAAATCATGCGCGTTGTATTCTTTCCAATCCATGCAAACTCTCAGTTTTTCAAAATCTAAATTGGCGGACAAGTATGGCGTAAATGTGGCTCGATCTCTTCATCGAGGTCGAATCATCAGGCAATCGCAGGAAACTTCATGAAGAATGCTGTTGCTTGTCGAGCCAATGGCCCAGCCGACGCCTCTGTTTTCTCCAGAGCCGATGATCAGAAGATCAGCATCAAAGTCTCGTACGAGACTGTCTAAAGTGTTAGGAACACTTTCCAGCTCGGGGACAACTTCCATCGTCTGCCATTTAGACTTCGCTAAAAACTGATGGGAGCGTTTGACCATCGCATCAGTGCTTTTGGAGGTTACACACACGACGCGCACATTATGCGGATCAATGTCCGCATCAGTGACAACTTGTGCGCTTCTGGACAGCACATCCTCGGTAACTTCTGATCCGTCGATGGCGACAACAACACGTTCGATCTTGTTTTGCGGGTCCTCTCGATGGCAAGCATAGACGTCCACGCCTTCCGCAGCTCTGAGTACGTCGGTTGTGGTGGTGCCAAAAAGCCTTTCCATATTGCGACGCTTGCGGGCGCCAATGACGATAAGGTCACCTGAGCGAATTTCTGCAACGTGAGCAATGACATCGCCAGGTTCGCCGACAATAACATTTGTATCTATCTGCCGTTCGGTCAGGGCGTTTAATCTCGATACCAGGGCGTTCCGCGCATCTTTCAAGAGCACATCACGCTCCACAATCTGCGCATCAAAAAAGCCCTTGGCGAGTAATAATTCTGGCCGCACGGCGGCGACCAGGTGCAATTCTGCGGCATTCTCACTGGAGATCCGCAAGCCGGTGATAACGGGTGTGTCGGACCCTCGCTCGATGTC